GGGTTCCCATGGGCCTCATGGGGGCCAGTTGCCCCGCCCCTTTTGGGGGGGGGGGGTGGTTATGGGGCAGGAGCAGCCCTGGGCTGTATCGCTTCCTCTCTCCATCACAAAAATCCCAGCCAAAACTCACTGTGGATACCAAACCCTCACTGTCCGGTGGGGCCGAGCTGCCAGAACCATGCCAGCCCAGAGGAAGGAGCATCCCCAACTCACCGATGATGGCATGGACTCGGACGGAGAGCTGTGTGCGCAGGATCAGGGTTGGCCGTCTCCCCTTCCTAGGGTGGGGGGAAACACTGTGTGAGCACCTGCAGCAGGACCACTGCGGACCCCAGCTCCCTGCCTGCAGCCCCCGGCACTCACACGCACGTGGGGTCCCCATGTCCCATCCCCGGAGGGCTTGGGCACCCCGCGTGCCTCACCTGACCTCCTCATAGAAACCCTCCAGATCATCCTTCTGCTCCAGCAGGGACAAGTCGAGGTCCAGGTAGTGTCCGGAGGGAGAGACCTGCAGCGTGCAGTCCTCCAGCTGGGGATGCAGACAGCCCAGCTGAGCCCCTGTGCCCACCACAGCCCTCCCGGCCCCCGGAGGTTGCAGTATCCCCATGTCACCCTCCTGCCTGCACCAAATCCACCAGGCAGCTGCACCCGGGAGCGGGGTGGCAGGTCCCACCCTGTCCCCAAGCGCTGGCCCTGCGCACCCTCCGCCCCAGCCTGGTGGCAGACTGGGGAGAAACATGGAGCCCCAGGCTAGGAAAAGGCAGAGTGAGGGTGGCCCCACCGCCGCTGGGCTCCTTGGCAATCCCTTGGGCGGGAGCCACGGCAAGAGGCTGATCCACTCCCTGGGGCGGCTCCCTTAGTCAGCCAGAGCGTGACTGGGGCAGGATCAGTCTCCTCCCTGGGCTGGTGCCTTCACCTGGGCTGATGAATTGCCTCCACCTGCAGAGACTGGCTCTGCGGGAACTGCCAAGGCACCTGGCCCGGCCAGGGACACCCAAAAATGGGGCAAATCCCACAGGGATGTCCCCCAGCTGACGCAGCCTCTGGCTCAGACCATGGCTGCATGGCATCTTCCAGCGGGACAGAGAAAAGCACAGCCTGACGCAAGGCTGGGGCAAGGGCATCTCCCCCAAAAGACTGTGCGCAGCACCCACAGCACCCAGATGTGCTCCAGGCATGGCACCTTCAAAGCCCCTGAGCCACCTGGGACCCAGCAGCACCCAGGCAGGGCTCCTGGGTGAGCTCCCCATGGGCCAGGGCAGTTTGCCTTCCAGGCGTGAGCAAAGGCAGAGGGAAGGCAGTGCCCACCTGGCCTTGCCAGCACCCCTGCCACCCCTGCGCACCTGGTCCTGGTTTTGCAGCCCCCCCTCTCCTAGCTTACCCCACCTCCAAGGAACTGATGCTCCTTTCCAAATCTGCACAGCAGTGCTGTGTAACCACCTGGGGAGCTGAGGACCGGGGATAAAAACCTTATTATTGCTGCCCTGGCCACCCTCAGGCAGGCTAGTGACCCACAGCAATGCTGGGTATGGCTCCTGCATCTCACTGGGGTTGCTTTCCATGAAAGTACCATCTCCAAGTCACAAAATTGTGCAAGAGCTCACATGTATGACTTCACTGTGAGTGTGATGTTAAAACCAGAGGGCAAAGAAAAAATGTCACATGCATTAAAATAATTAATGACCCAGACTAAGCCTCAGGATAACAGGCAATTTGGCAGGGCGCTGCCGTTGGGTTGGCCACAGTTGTTATGTTGTTAGTGTCCCACTCTGCCTCCCGTGGTTGCTGGCCACGCCAGCCAGCCATGGCAACATGCACCAAACACAGGCTGCCGGCACCGGGCAAGCACTCCTGGCTGCTGGCTCTGTGGCGGGTATTGCTAACGCTGACCCCACGCAGGGTTTGCTTGCTGGAGAAAGCTTCCTGGGAATCCCTGCATCCTCCTGGGCATGGGAGACCCCTCCTGCATCCCCTCAGGCACCCCTGCGTCCTCCCGGGCATCCCCACATCCTCCCACAGGCATGGGAGACCCCTCCTGCATCCTCTCAGGCATCCCTGTATCCTCCTGGGCACTTAAACACAGTGAAGAGCAACTCATAGCTCCAGCACAAAAGCTTTGCCTTCTCTGGGCTGCCAGAGCCCCGGCGAGCTGGAGTTAACATCCCCAGCTCCTACCAGGGGGCCAGTGACATGTCCCAGCTGGCGGGAGAGGCCAAGCCCCTGGGACAAGACCCTGTGTGTTTCCCATATGAGCTTGGCAGCGCTCCCCACAAGGGATGCTCTGAGCGCTGGGCCCGGGTTTGGCTGTGACCCCCCTGGCGAGCGCCAGCCCCCGGGGATAGAGCTGGGCTATCCCAGGCTCATGCTACCCTGCCAAAAATCCTGGGACAGCACTTCCGTGCCAGGGAGCACCGACTGCCCCAGGGCCGGGGTTACTCCCGCGCCCTCGGATGAGGTTTTGAACCATGCAGGATCTGAGCCAAGACCTCAGAGCCACACTGCTGGGGACGGCACGTTGGGGCCATGGGGTACTGACAGCTCCCGGTGCATGGTGGCTGTGATCCATCCATCTCCTGCCTGTAAAACCATTTTATAATGAGCTGGTCTTTGAGGGTCATGGGGACTTGCAGGCAAAGCAGAGCTGGGAGGAGAGCATCCCACGCTCGCACCTCCAGCCCATGGCTCCTGGGAGCCCCAGCTGCCCCGCAACAGCACTGATGTCCTCCATCCACCCTGTTGCCTCAAATCTGAGACATGGGAAAGGTGGAAACACACGGATGTCCCTGATCCTACCAACACCCAGCAGCTGTGGCCAGCTTTGCAGCTCAGCAAGGACACACATGCCAGGCAAGGAAGTCCCCTGGGAAAACCAGCTCCCCCCAGAGCGGGACTGCCCCCGTGAACCACGGGGATGTGACGGAGACATCTCCACCTCCGAGATGGAGACATCCTCCACCCACAGCTGCACTCACGCCACCCACCACGGCATCACATCTTCCTGCTCACCCCTATCACGGCATCCCCAGGCAGGAAGATGCTCCAAGGCCAGGCAGTGAATATCCTCTTTATCTGCCAGCAGAGGAAACACTTTCTTCCCCCCTCTAACACTTTCTTTTTGCAGTAACCACAATTTCCCAACATCACTGTGGCTCTTCTTAGAAGGCTTCAGGGGAAATTACAGAAATATGCATTATTTGCTCCAGCTGAGGCAGCACTCAAGCTCAAGGCAGCAGTTAAACACAAAGCACTGGCGGGTCAGAAACGCCTGGCATCACAAGCCTCTGCCCACCCTCCCAAAATACATGGGGACTGATGGTTTATAGAGCTACGCTGCAGGAGCAACCCCAGCTGGCAACCAAAGGCAGTCACCGCGATTCAGTTTCAGGGCTAAAAGGGGTGTTTATTGCCAGGGTACTCAGTTGCTGCCTCCTGCCTGATGGATGGCAGCAAGTGGATGGGAGCACTGCCATTGCCTTATCACAGGGAGGAAAAAAAAATACTCAGGCCAGGAGGGATCTCTGGAGGTCACCCAGAGTTGGCCCAGAACTGCACACTCGCTCGCGCGCATCCCTCTCAAAGCTCCTCCAGCCAGGCTTGTTGCTCATTAACAGATTCCTCATTTCTCATCACCAGTGGGAGGGCCCCAGTACTGGCAAGCAGCTGATGTCCTGGTAAAGCTATGGCACAAATGCCTGGCCGCAACTCCCGTCCCAGGATTCAGGTGAGGACCATGCTGGGAGCCAGGGAGTGCTGGAGGCTGCTGAGCACCAGAAAGAAGCAGATGGCACAGTTTCAAAGCCTGCCGACGACCCCGTCTCACCGCTTTTGTGCCTGCCAGAGGTTAAGAGGGGCAAAAACCCTCAGTGAAGCCCCCCTCGAGCTGGTTAGGAAACAGAGGACAAGCAGAGCTGGTGGGACGGGGCTTGCATGTTGCATGCATCAAGGTCACCCCAGCGGCTCTCCTCTGTCAAGCCCGAGAGCTCGCAGCGAGTGGAAGGGCGAGCTTATGGCACTGAGGCTGGCGAGCTGTTTGCTCTTCCCCAGGTTTCCAGGGGAGGAAGGGTAAAGCAAAGCTCCAGCCCATTGGGTTTTGCAATTGTTTGGAAAAATCCCTAGATTCAGAGGTGAGATAGTGCCGGGGGCAAGGGAGCGCAGTGGCCTTTAGGGACCAAAGGGACAGCCAAAAAAATCTGCCCTGCCAAAACCTGCCTGCAGAGGTTCAGAAAACCCCCACACCCAGCACAAGCATCACCCGAGAGTACTAGAAAAATGCTGGAAAGCAGGAGAAGATAGTATCGGCCTGGAGCAGAACAATACAGAGGCACAAACAAAGCTGGAAGGTATTTTCAAGCACAAACACACTTTCCGGAGAGCATGAAAAAGTCATCAGCGGCGGGTTGCACTCGGGGAGAGGAAGCACCAAGGGTGTCACAGGGCAGGACAAGCTGTTCAAAGCAGCAATGTCAGCACGAGAAACCTTCTGCTCATCATTTCTAGGCTGTTCCTAGCTCAGGGAGCAGCTCTTCTGTGCCCAGGGAGGGCAGGACCTTGCTGGTCCCCCATGGCAGCTCATCCCCTGGTTGCCTGTGGTTCAGTCCTCCTCCGACGATGCGGGGACCCCCAGCCCAGCTCCCTCTCAGCCATTGCATCCTCCTCCCGGTGCTTTGCAGCTGCGGGCATGCTGCCCAGCAGGACAAGCCTGGCACTGGGCACCTCCAGCTGAATTTTTTTACAGCCAGTTCCTTGGGAAAAATCCGACTGTTCATTTACTAATTTTAGGGCAGCGAGTAATGGAGCCAAGCACTACCTGGCACAAAGGGCACCAAGGGAGGTTTCAGCTGGTCATGCCAGGGTGCCGACGTCTGCACGGCTCTGGGGTGCCAGCTCCAAATTTGGACTTGAAGCGGGTGGTTCGGGAGACAGACCTAGCTCCGCAGGGTGTAAATCCTGCTGCAGGAGGCTCCTGATGAAGACATCAGCTCATGCAAACCCCAGCCAGCATCCCAGCTTGTCAGGCTGGGATGTAGCACAGCCCTTGCTGGCTCAGAAAGCTCCGTGTAATAAAGGCAGCATGGTTTATAACCTATATAACCTATATAAACCAGGAATCTGGATTATAAGCCCAGAGCAGGGTCCTAGCTGCTCGCCTGCAATTTTGCCAAGGGTCATGGGGTGATGCAGGGAAACTACAGAAAAAAACATCCAGAGTTTGGCTTAGGCAGAGAACAGAGCCTGAAATCCCAGGATCAACATGCCTCTGCCGGGCACAGGACCTCCTTGCAACACTCCTGCCCTCGGGAACGTGGCGTCCAGCCCCGCCATGCCACCTCGGCAGCACCCCGGGCTGGCGATCCTGTTACAGCCAGCTCCTGCCCAGGGAGGAGAGCACATGCCTGAAATTTGAGTTTGCTCCATTCGTCATGTCTTGGGGCTGTTTGTTCCCAAACAAACTCCGTTTAGTCACCGCGTAAAAATCCCATGACGGCGACGACATGAGATGCTGCTGCTTTGCTCCAAGAAAAATGAAAAGGGGGATAAAAGGGAGGTTTTTTGGTGCAGGCAGAGGTCTCACAGCGATCCCCTCTTCCCCAACAGGCCAGCAAGCTTGGTGCCAGGCACACTGAGCCCATTTCCCCCTCCTGCCACCCTTGGCTCTCTCGTCTGGCTCCAGGCAGGGTATGCTTCCCTTGCCTGCCTGGGTCCCTGCCTCCCTTGCCTGCACTCCTGCAAGACAGAGATGCTCAGCCATCATCAAAGCGCTTCTGGGTCCTGTATTCGTAAAGAGGAAAACAAGCCTGTCCCCCATCCTGTAAAGGATGCTCTGAAAGCATCACGCCAACAGAAGATACCCAGGAGGGAGGGTCCCCTGTCTCCTCTGCTCCCCAGCCCCTCTTTCCCAGCCTGGATCAGGCCTGACGGCACACAAGCAAGACGCGACACCTTGCTTCAGCCTCCTGCCTTCCTCCCGGCCAGCCCCTGCTCCTCCCTGCAGCACAACGAGGGGTGCATGCAGGGCGCAGGCCCTCCGCTCGCCCACCCCGGCCAGAGGAAATCGCTCAGCACGAATTTCCGCGCCGCTCTTTGGTGGCAATGCTGCCGCCGAACCAGAGGGACGAGGGGCTGGTGGCTCTCCGGCTCCACCGTCACCTCCCCAAGGTCCATGTGCTGCAGCGAGTGGGGACGCCGGCCGGGTCCCCGGTGTTAGGGAGCTGGCGTGCTCCCATGGAGGCTCAGCTCCGCTCCCGGTAGCCGGTGTGGAAGGGGGATGCTGGGGTGGGAGCACGCTGCCTGGCTCAGCCCCGACGCCATGGGGATGGACGCCTGCCCTCATCCTGCTTCCCCCTGCCCGGGTTCCTGCCCGCTCTGAGCAAGCACATCCTCTTCCTCCCCGCCGACTCATCCGGGGCCGGCCGAGAACTGACATCTCCCGCAGGGGCTCACGGATTCCACCGTGACTCACACCGGGAGCGCTGCCCGGGCTCCGGCGGCGGGACACCCCGCATCCCTCGCCTCCCCGCTCCTTCCAGCCGACAGTCCCCAACCCGCCCCTGCCCCGTGCCGGCCCGGTGCCTTCCCCCGCTC